AGAAAGATTCATCTCATTCACCCCCATCACTAGTGTCCTCCTTTTTGACGTGAAGGAAATGGCCACCCTAGCTGCTGAGCGAGTCGTTTTTAGACTTTTATTTTCTTTCCCCTTTTTTTAATTGCTTTAAAGTGCTTTAGTGGTAGTGTGTTCACGTCAAGTTGGGTTTAAGTTTGTTCGGCGGAAGTTGGGTGTGGGTTTATTGGGCGTTTTTCTCCTGCCGGTGTCTCCGGTCGGTAAATAGACAATATCTGTCCCGGTCCCTCACGCGAAAGCACGGCATGGGAATGAGGGCCGGCCACAGCGCGCAGGACGTCGCTTCTGGCTGTGAGGGAAAAAGGAGCCTTCGTGCAGGTGTTGCCACTGAACGCAACCGGTTGGTTCCGTCCAACGTCCCTCCGTTCATCACCGCCGAGCTCCTCAGCGGAGAGCTGTCCGGACACGGAACGTTGGTGACACCGATCCAAAAGATCTCATCTGGATGTAAGTCTCAGTTGCCGAAGCACGTGGTGTCTCACCGCAGACACCTGTACCTGTTCCTTAAGAACCGCAGTGTGGAGCTCCACCTCGGGTTCCATGTGAAGGTACATGATTACGAGTACGTGATATTTGCAACATCCTTGTCGATGAAATGTTTCGGATGTGGTGAGGAGGTGCACTCCGTGGGGGCCCGGCCAATATAAATATATCAAATACATTGAAATGTATATTAAATACTAAACTCTCGAGCTCTCTGAAGACACCAGGACTGCAGAGAGCCTTCACATCTTCCGCCGCAAACTAAAGACCCACCTCTTCACACACTGCCTCGACTAAAAGACTAACAAATTGTAGCACTTAAATTGTACATAAAATAGCATTTTGTTGTTTCCTGCTCATCTGAGTTTGTATCTCTATGGTTGAATGCACAATGTAATGGTAAAAATATGTTATAACATTGTTTTGTGCTAAAGCCGTGTCTCAAGTGTCCTGTATTTGACCCCGATGTGCAAAGAGCAGCATGATACAAAAGTTAGTTTGCAGCTGGGTCCTGAGAAGGGAGGACAGTTGACTCGATCTCATAGAAGCTTCAAAACAAAGGACTCCTCTTCATGGCCTTGGTTGATATCTTATTCTGTACGAAAGTTCTGGATCCAAGTTTTACTTTCATGTCAAGTAATAATGATTTGCAGCGGCCATTGAGGAGGATCTTGTGTGTGTGTGCTACCCTCAGCTTCACCTGGGTTCTTATCTCAACCTGCTTTGCAGCTTCTCGTAGCTGGCACGGAGAATGTTCTTCACATGTGTATAAAAACTCAGCGTCTTTAGTGCTCGGAGACGCCATTTCCACAGAGCACCGTGATACGTGCCTGTGTATTTGACCTCCTGCTTGCAAGCAATAAATGGACTTTTTGCAACTTTGATCATTCATCAAGACTCTGTTTTATCAGACAAATCATTCTCTTCTACCAAGCTTTTATTGAAATATTCCACAACAATTTGGCGTCACGAACAGGATTCACTGACCGTCCGTCAGGCTCCAGGGGACCGTCCGGGGAAAAAGGCCTTTTCCAGGATCACCAACTGATGATCCTGCCTCATACCTCCTTAGATAATAGAGAAAGGACCGGCGGAAACCAGAGAAGTCCTGATCGACGTCACGTGTATCCAGCGAAAAATAATTAATTTCTACAAACTCGGGTAAGAAGTTGAAATTCCAATTATAAAGTAAGAGTAAGAGTTGAACATAACGGAGACGGATGACTGATCAAGTGGTTGTTATAGTCTGGGGAATAAAATATATTTTTTGTTTTTTTTTCCTATAATAATCTTTTAATTTTTTTTTTGAGTACATGATTCCGGGATATTTGTAATGCATCATTTTATGCGAAGGTAGATATGCATGTGGAAAATCAAATGTGTCAAGACAAACGCAGAAAGCAGACTGGGGAGAAAGCCCAGCTTGCGATGCTCCAAGCCGTAAAACAGTTGACACTGGGTGCAGAAGGAGGACGAGACCCCCACCCATCCGGAAAATCTTATGGGAGGGACCAACAGAGAGGAC